CTAAAATTGAGTTAAGTCATTTTATACTTGAGTTATTAGATTTAGAAAACTAAGATAAATTAATCATATCTTAATTATAAATATTTTGATATCTTTTATGCAAATTAAATTGAAATATAATAACAAATGAGAGTATATATATTCAAAGTATATATGTCACATTTAAACTTGGCAAATTACAATTTAAAGACATACATGTTTATGTCACTAATTAATCATATTTTATTAATCAACATATATAGAACATGTGAGAGCAACTAATAGAACAATTATATTATGTCTCATAATTGATCTAAGCAAGTCATAATTAAAAAGACATTAATGTTGGCATAAGTCATTTTATAATTATAAAAGATTATACATATGCTTTAAGTCATTTAAACATTTAACACAAAAAGATAAAGAACATATAATAACTAAACGAAAGCACTTATGTTTCAAGATTAAACTAAATCACTTATAAATCAAGAGAGATTAAGGGTGACATTAATTAGATTTACAGTAATTTATAAAAGACCGAAGTATATGCCTATGTTACTTTTAATTAGAAACTCAATTGCATAAGCACAAATCAAATTATTATTTACTCATAAAATTTCAAAGATGTGAAACATGATAAATTTTCCTACTAACGTGTACCTCATGATCAGCACAGTCGTAAAAGAACAAGAACGAAATTAAACTGTTTGTTTTTAATTGGGAAACCGTTAACTAATTATTAATGAAATTAGTATTAGGTTAATAAATTCATAATTAACTGACATGATAAACTTTACTACTACTGCGAGAGCACAAAATTACTGAAACTAACGCAACTAGAATCGCTTCAAAGCGGAATTAAAGCGGTTAAGCGGCAGAGATTAACAATAGGATGGCGAAATCGTAAATAATTACATCTTCTACCTTGCTGTAGCTGATCGTGGCCAGCCAAATTGACTTCGACTGATCTTGGAGAAGGTGGACAGCAGACATGTCACACTTCCTACGGCAACGACGGCTTTGCCTATGTTCTTGGAAAGGCTCCGAGTGGCAGCGGCTTCCACAGCCATAAAAGGGCATCGGCATAGTTTAGTACAGATGTGTATTTAAACTATGAACTGAGGATTCACAGGGTCATGCATGATATATACATAGCTGATCGAATAAACAAGAGGCGAAGGAACTTTGCAGAATTACCATAGCTTGTTTAGCTTGGCTTCCTTCATGCATGTCCAGCTGCTACACGATATCCAGAAAACATGCATCATGATCTTGCAAACCGGTCAGCAGGTAGATAGGGCTTGGCTGACGGGGGCAGCAGCATCCAGACGTAAAGGCCGAAGGCCTCTGCTTTTAAAGCGGTACATGCGATGCTGTATTCTGCAGATGATCAATGTGCTCTTGAAAGGTACCGGTGAGCAGAAGGTACGCACAGATGCAATGCATATATCTGCACTTGGTAAATGAAAAGAGAACTTACGTATTTTAGTGAATATGCATGATTAACTGTCTGTATGTAGATGAGGCATATAGATGTATATATACACATGCAAAAGCAGCATGCAGCAGCGGTATGTATTCAATGGCACCGTGTAATTAGCAGAGAAGAAAGGAAACACGAAGATGCAGATGCTCACCAATGAACGGGCAGAGTTAAAGATCCTGCATGGCGGCATGGCTGACAATTCTGGTGGTGGCATCGACGATGACGACGACGACAGCGAGAGAAAGAGCATAAAAAATATAATTTACTACACGAAGGATTTCCCAAACTAGAGGCTCCCCTTACGGTAGTTTTGGTGTGCTTTACCCAAGGGGTTGGTAGATATATATAGAAAGAAAAACTTCCCACATCTACATCAACTAGCAATATGGTACTAACTGATGTTGCACCCTCCATCTTTACTAATAGACCTAATTAATTATTAAAGCCCATTAGTAAATAAAGACATGGGCCTTTGGGCATGAGGAAATCTGAGATATTTCATTATTTTCGGAATTAATTAATTTCATGGATAAAATAATTCTAGAAAAGCCTAGAATTGAATTTTAAGCTACGAAAAATACTACGAAGGCTCTGAAAATTCAGAGAAAATTCTCAGAGATAATTTAGAACAAGACGAACCCAAATAAAGTATTTGGAGCTCATGAAAAGATATTTTGGAGCATTTAAAAATTAGATTATGCTCACAAACAAGTGAGAACAAGTTCCGGAAAAAGCCAAAGAAATTCCCGAGGTATCCATGGAGATAGGTTGATGAATAGTGAGCAGGAAGGAGTGATTTGGATTTCATGGAAAATATTTTAGGATACTTCTCAAGCAAATATTAAGTCGGAAAACAAGGAATTTGATCGGTGAGAAAGACTAAGAATTGCTGGAGAAAGAAGATTGACTTACTAAACGCATTTTAAAAATCTTTTCTCACAACATGAAATAAATCAACAACCAAGCATCACATCAAGCAATAGCTCATCAAATTGATTTGGAAAAGCTTGAAAATTCACATTTTTCCTATAACTAAATTTACGCTAGTTCAAACTAAGATTGGTAAATTTTATCCAAATATCAAAACATTTATTTTAATTAGTGTTTTCTATGCACAGCCCAAAATTAGAAATTTTGGGGTGTGAGAAGGTATTTGCATGTAACTCGCTTTTCTTTTCGGACCTATGAGTTCTGATTGTTGCTAGGCAAGCAGATGGAGAAATGGTGGCAGCAAGGACAGCCAGCTAGGACAGTATGATGAGTTCTTGTTTAACCCAACCACTTCAATTGTGTAATTCTTCTTGGCAAACATGATAAAATGTAGGAATGGATTTATTTTTTCGTTCATTTAATATGTCTTCATTGCTTAGACACAAATGACATGCTCTATTGTGCCACCACTGGTGTTGCGTTTCTGTAATAATATAATCCTGTTTCTCAGTTAACCTTTCTTTGAATAAAGCGTGCATTGTTAAACATAGTGTATGCACTGGCCTTGATTATTTCTTATGTCATTGTAAGGTTTAGTTCTTGGGCTACTGGATAAAGGAGAGGATTGGCCTAACTTTAGAGGTTGCATATCACATTATCTAAGTGCTTCATAACACATCATAGCACTCATTTTTCTCTGCACGAGCGCGCGAATGCGCGCTCCTTTCTACTAGTGAAATCCATCACGTGAAAGGTTCTGATCAGACTCGAATAGAATAAATAAACCTACCTCCTATTTGCATCACTGCCTTGCCGCAAGATCGATTGCACAATGTCTATGATGATCGATGATATAGCGTCCTACTATAAGATTCACCCAACAATGCTACAGCGTCCGATTCCAACATGTATTAGGATAGATGACGCGATTCTTAAATAAATCTTGAGCCGCAAGTTGTTTAGGTGACTACGCCACAAGTTGTACTTTAGCTGCAACGGACGTACACCATTACTATAAATATTCTTCTTTGAACCCTAACCTCTGTCTATAAACAAATATTAGGTATGGATATTTTTCAATGTTCTTATAGAAAACCATGAAAATTGATATTTAACTCTACCACACATGGTTAATGTGGAAAAAAGTTATGTTATATCGAGTGTAAATATTTATGTCTTTACAATGAGAGAGAAAATCTATTAAAATTCTATTTTAATTTAATATGGATTTAATAGAGCATTGTAATAACTCATAATATTACAAGCACCAATTTATATTATGCTTATCATAGACATCAAAAAATAAATTATAAAATAAAAATCTATCAATATATATTTTAATAGTCTCGTTGCAATGCATAGGCATTTGCTAGTACTACAATAAGTTATAACTATTTTTTTTCAATCCTTGTAGTCAGCTGCCAGCAGGCCCATAAATGTATCATTGCCTTTGTTTACTCAATTGGGGACCTATTCACTCCCTCCGTCCCAAAGAATGCAAGATCTATTCGAATATATAAATAAATTTGATTAAACTTAAAAAATTATGAAGGGTGTACATTAGAGCAATCGTATATGGTTGAGTTCTTTGTGGTGAAATCTACCCACCCATGTTTAAATCCTCGATTTAGCACGGGTACTCGTATTTTCTGGGTTTATTCTAGGATTTAATGGCAATATGTTATCATGGTAAGTTTTGCGTAAGTGTGTTCATATAGGTGTTCATATGGATATGGTTTGTGTATGTGTATCATATGAGTGAGTATGCATGCATGTTGTGAGTGCCTACGGTGTATTGTGTAATTCTCAAAAATATCTCTTTGGCAACGCTTTGGCTCCTCCATAAATAATAGCTTTGGCTTTTGCTCCTCTAAAGCACTTTTGAAAAACGTTTGGCAAAATATCTTCTCTTGTTTTTTCTAGAATGGATGAAACATGTTGAATATCCATAATGCCTTTGTCTGCTTAACTATTGACCTCAGTCAGTAACTTGAGTTCATTACAGAGGTATTCATAGTTCTGTTTTTTTTTTGAGGAAAAAAAATAAATGTAATACTTTGCTTTATACTCCGTACTCCATCTGTTAGGCCACGTCTATATATCCACTTCGGCCCTTCCTTTTTCCATGCCCGTATTCGGGTGCGTTCAAGTGGCAGAGCGGCGCACGAGCGGGCGGGGCGGTAGCGCAGCCGGTCTTTGGCGTGCGCACAGGTGAGAGCCGAGAGAAGCTAATTTTTGGGGGCTTCGTCGTCCAGCTCCGGCTCCGGGACCGGAAGGGCCTCGCCGAAGCTACAGTATTTCAGGTGCAAGGCTCTCTCAAGAGCCGGAGCAGAAGCCGTGTAAAATCGAAGTCCTTCCAAACGCGGCCCGTCCAAGTGTACAAAATCGAACCGAACTCGTTGGGTGGGATTCCCAAATCTGAGTCCAATCCCTCCCTCAAATTGACGCTCCTCCAGTAGGGAGGGCCGGAGCCCGGAGGGGAGACGCCGGAGGCTGGATCTTCAGTTCAAGGCAGGCAGAGAGGGAGGGATTGTGATTCGACTCCGCCTTAAGGCGGCCCGGGATATATAGATTATCTATATATATATTCTACACAGAGGAAGACATGGGGCTTGTAGATCTTATGCAGCACATGTCCATGGAGCGGCAGCCGGACCGCCTTCGTCGGCGAGCGGAGACCACTTGTAAGCCGCCGCCTTCTTTTCCTCTGTTTTTTTTTCTTATATAATCCGGTTGATGATAGAAAAATCCAAACTTTCTTCTCCTCCCGCCTTGTAGTTTTGATGTGAATCTGTTTGCAGAAAAAAAAAATCTATTCCAAGGAGATTTCCAGAGGAATACAATACAATACAGTAATACATTCAATTGAATTCGTTACTTCCTTTTATATTACCTGTATAAGTAAGTGAAATCCGAGATGAGAGCCTCTCCTTGTGAGGGAGGAGAAATTGAAAGCAGTAGCTGATGGCATGCACTGTATTGTTTCTTTGGCTGCGCCCAGATTGACAAAACCTTTTTTTTTAACTGCTTTCGGGCCAGAGCCCCGCCTTTCCATTAGAAAGATAAAACCTGAGGAGAGGTTACTTACTATGCACGCTCTGGGGAAAAGATAAAAACCTGCATGCTCTGTTTTAACAAGCTGTCTGTGTTAATATTATTACTGAACAGATGTTTGACAAGAGGACAAAAAAGGATTCCTCTGTGTGCATTTGTTGTTTTGCGCCTCAAATTTCCGAATTACTCATAATTACCAATGCTGTGCTGCAGATGGGTTGGTTGCTTCACGGGATAATAATGAGGTCTCACCCTGCCAGCAAGAAGCTGATTCTCAAGGTGGTGAGGCACAGATACCTAGGCTTCCAGAGGTACGCCATGGCATTTTGTTAATGGTAGGCTTAGTGCTACTGAAATGTCAGTAAAACATGTGTCACAATGGTTCCCAAACCCTTGTGTTTTTCCAACTGTGCATAACTTTTAAGAACAGCTAGTGTTTGCTCCTAAATAAGTACAATAATAACACTGAAACCTTCTTCTGGCCTCCAATGTGTAAAAGCTGGAATTTCTTGGACTTGGAGCCTCTCAACCTACCATCAATAGATTTTGCTTTCCACTAGTCGTTATGTCATCTATAAAATCCTTGGAATCTACTCCATCCGTTTTGAATTACAAGATGTTTTGGCTTTTGTAGATACATTGCTTTTACTATGTATCTGGTATCTGACATAGTTTTTATCTAAGTGCATAACGAAAGCTATTGTATCTAAAAAAGCTAAACCGGAATGGCGGCAGTATGATCTAATAAAATGGTTCCCTTTTAGGTTTGCCATGACATGTCTGTAAAGGCACCATCATTTAGTACTGTCTCCCTTGATGTGTCTCATGTTATCTCCATTGGACCATTACAGGCAATTCCTTGTGATTTAGACCTGCATAGTGCATACCCTTGTAGGATAGCACTCTTTTACTATCCTGTTCACAGGGGCAGGGCCAGGATTCAGATATTTGGTGGGGGCTGGCCTACCGAGAACCAACCAACTAAGTGTCGATAAATTTCATGGAACAGCAAAATAAATGAGAAGCAAAGATATGTATAATTATACATGCAAAAACCCATCTACAATCTTACTTCTAGTATTTATCTGCCAAGTTCCATTTCTTTAAAGGCCCTCTCAGTAGATGCTAGAGGAGTTATGACTAATTTAGAACCTATTAACCATTGGATGAATAGATTTTTTTTATTTGCTATTTTGCTAGATCTACAAAGATACTTGGCTAATTTCTATCTAATTTCTAGTGATTAGGGTACATATATGATGAAGATCATTGGGGGGTGGGTGGGTTCAGCCTGTTATCATATCACACTTCAGTGGTTAAGGTTTATATCATGTCTCTTGCACTGTGGCTGTGAAGTTGATGGATACTCCTCCATTTCAAATTATAAGTCATTCTAAGAATCTTGGAGAGTCAAAGTATTTTAAGTTTAGCCAATGATTATATAAAAAAATACAAAGGTTCATAACATCAAATTAATATACTATGAAAATATAAGTAATACCGAATCTAATGATACTTAGTTGGTATAAAAATATTATTATTTTATTATATAAATTTGGTCAAAGAAGGGCGGGCCTGGTGCAAGCGGTAGAGTCTTACCGCCTGTGACCGGAAGGTCCCGGGTTCGAGTCATGGCCTCCACGCATTGCACAGGCGAGGGTAAGGCTTGTCACTGACACCCTTCCCCAGACCCCGCACAGAGTGAGAGCTCTCTGCACTGGGTACGCCCTTTATATAAATTTGGTCAAACTTGAAAAAGTTTGACTCTCCAAGATTCTTGGAATGCCTTATAATTTGGGATGGAGGGAGTACAACACAATTGCATGGGCCTCCTGTTAGTTTAATAATATATCAAGATGCTCCATTGGTAGTTTGATACCCTGCCCATAACTCCGTGCACGTGCATGTTTGCTGTGTCCAATCTACCCTGATTTTGAAGCATGTATTGACATACATACATACATACATGCATATTTTTTTAAGTGAAGAAGTATGAATAGATTTCGAAGTATTTAATCAGCTCTAGTTGCATACTGTGTTTTTGAAGTGGCCATTGAAAACCCATTGTGCAACAATGTGCATAGAACCTGGGTTACGTTGTCATAGTTTTCTTCAGTTCTTTTTTCTCCATCTAGAGTAACCATTTTCCTTAATGCTGAATTTCTCTTCCATGCTTTTGTAACATGCGTGCAGGACATCTGGTGTCATATACATTCCCTGATGCCAATGCGATCTGCTGCCCGAGCTGCCTGTGTGTCTCGTGCTTTTCTACGTTCCTGGAGATGCCATCCCAACCTCACTTTCAGTGTGAAGGCGCTGAGGTCGAATAAGAAGGAATATGAAAATGATGATATCGCCAGAGATTTCTGTAGCAAAGTTGACCAGATTCTGAAAAGGCATTCAGGCGTTGGTGTCAAGAAACTCAATATTCAGATGCTTGGAGGTTACAATGGTTATGTCGACAGTTGGCTCCAGATTGCTGTTAGATCAGGAATCGAAGAACTTTCACTTTCAATGCCAAGGAGAGCAAAATACAATGTCCCATGCTCACTCTTTTCTAATGGGAGTGGAGACTCAATCCAATACCTATACCTTACTGGTTGCTCCTTCCGTCCCAAAACTGAACTTGGTTGTTTAAGAAGCCTGACAAAACTGCATCTTTATTATGTCAGTTTTACTGGGGATGAGTTAGGGTGCCTTCTCTCCAATTCTTTTGCCTTGGAGGGCTTGGGAATCAGGTATTGTGAGGGATAGGTTGCTTGAAGGTCCCTTGCGCTGCAGCAGCCTCTAAGGTACCTAGAGGTTTTAGGTTGTTGGAAGCTGAAAATTATAAGAAAGCAAAGCTCCAAATGTTTCCAGTTTTTGCTATGAAGGAGACCGCATTCAACTGTCACTCGGAGAAACATTGCAAATGAAGGAGCTAAGTTTGTCCTTCTCTCTGGCGCAGTTCATTGCGTTTGTGCTGAACTTCCGTCCAGCATGCCAAACCTTAAAATTGCCACTATATATTCAAGAAGTGAGGTATACTGTTTTGGCTGGACCAGCAATACTCATATTTTTATGCTACATACTTACAGCAGTCATATCATATACCTTGGAGTATAACTGACCTGTTCATCTTTTTACGCAGATCAATACGCCATTGCTGCATAGCAAATATTTCCACCTCAAAAACCTTAATATTATTCTTAGCGCTGCAACCTTTCCTCCGGCCTATGATTATTTTTCTCTTGTTTCTTTTTTGATGGTTGCCCTTGCTTGGAGACTTTGGTCTTGTTTGTAAGTTGACACTCATATTACTATGGTAACAATAGCTAACACTCCAGAACCATGACTATATAACTTTTTCTCTCCCCTTTTTCATCTTATGTAGGTATCCCAATTGAAAATGGAACACGTCTCCATATTTGCCGATCCCTCGGATCTGAGGAAGATGCAAGGACAGCAGCACCACAAGATGAAGACAGTGGAGATCATAGGATTCACATCAGCAAAGAGTCTTGTTGAGCTAACATGCCATATTGTTGAGAGCGTGACATCACTTGAATGCCTTACATTGAGGACCCATCAGAGTTCTTCTAGGTGCTCCGAGTCTGCTAATGCTAATAAAAGTAACAAGTGCTCCCCATTGCCCGTTCATGTTCTCATGGAAGCTCAACGAGCGCTCTTGGCCATCAGGACGTACATTGAGCCTAAAGTTCCCTCTATGGTAAAGCTAAGTGTTGTTGAGACTTGCCGACGATGCCATGCTGTTGAACTTTAGGTGCTGGAATCAAGGTGTCGCCCTTCATAATTATGGTAAGTATCCATTGTGTAGCTCTAGTATTTGAGCGTCTGTGCTGCAGTCTCTGTTTTACTGGGTTATGAGTAGTCTTTGCGTTCGGATGTGCTAAAGCAATGCTGCTGTAACTTGTATTAATAAAGAAATAGTGGAGCACCTATTATTAGTTAATAAATAATAACTTTGGTACGCTATTAATTATTTTGTTCGTGTGCCCACCGCATACATATATTTCTTCCATCAAGCTATCAAAGGTGCTGCTGAAGTCGGGGTTTTTTTGTGGACCTGTGAAGTCTACTACTTCCTCCACACTTATCTAAAAAGGTTACAAAAAGTCTATAATTTAGAGCCTTTCTAAGCCGAGTACTCCTCTATATCAGAATAGCCCTTTATGAGTTCCAGTCGGGGTACCGGTAGGAGTTTTTCAAATACTATACCCCCTGCTATACCATAGCAGTGGACCTACGGTTCGCTAATCGTTTGCATCTCAACTTTTTAGTGAAAGGGCTCGATGGTAAACATACGATGTTTTTTGCTGAAGTGCATCATAATCTCAGATAAGATGTTTATCTCTGCAAGCCTTTGGGTGAGGATGACTGCAATCCATCAAAAAAGAATGACCAAGGTTCGTACCTTCACATTTGCTCATCTTCACATCTCCTTCAATTCTCTATATTAGTACACTATATATGCTCCAACATTATATGTTTATTTTTCATATGTTTTTTTTTCATTTCCATTGACCATTCACTGACGCATTTGTCTTTTTTTTAAGCTCGCTGCAAAGGGTGTCAACTTCGGGCAAAAGATCTTATACATCCTAATTGCGGTAGCTTCATTGCTGGGCACAACACTATTCTTTATCCAGAAGAAAGTGGCGAAGAAGAGCGTGATTGGGACTTCATTTAGTGAAAAGTTCATGTTATTCACTGCTTGGGATATGTATTGGTTTGCGTGCATGCACAAATTAACAATTTCAAGTTGAGCATGCACGACCTGTGAAACAAGACTGAAAGCTAATAGGCTATTACAAGACTGAAAGCTAATAGGCTATTATACAAGACTGAAAGCTAATAGGCTATTACAAGACTGAAAGCTAATAGCATGCACGACCATGATTATCATGTGGGCTGGTTCAATGGAATGGTTTCGCAACATCTTACATCACCGCTACACAAACTTTCGCAGTTCCTAATGATCGATCCCCTGTCAGTCTCATCCTATGCACATTATTATCGACCCCTAACATGCGAATTATGCAAAATCTGACAGATGTTTTTCAAGAAGAGAGTCTTGATCAGCCCCAGGGTATCCTGGCATGCAAATGGAGAGATCGACATGCACTGGCTACTGTACTAGGAGAGCAGTAAAGTGCAGCTTTTTGGACTGCATGGTTCATGCTGTTCCGAAGAACCTTGACCTGAATCAGTCCCAATAACTGTTTATTAACATAACTTTCCAACAGGATACTCTACCAGACTGTGTCCAGGTAATTATTATCCATTGTCTTATAAGAAGGGCAGTGTTCCAACCATTTTCTGTCTAAATTCAAAAAAGATATGGTACAGAAGGATGAAAACGGCTAGAAACAGGAAGGAAACCTCCTCTCCCATCCCGTTACTATATTTTCCCGCAAATACGAAAATGGTCCGGATCCCGTATTGTTAGTCTGAAGATGTCTGTACCTAGGGATGAAATCCTGTTTGCTTTCATCCCTAGGTACAGACATCTTCAGACTAACAATAGCAGTTAGTAACAAAACAATACATGGCACATGAAATATAATATTATCAAAGCAGGAGCATGACTTCGAATTACTAATGAACATTCAGGTCATCACAAATCTGCATGACACACTAAGAAAAGGTTTGATAAAAACCCCTTTAACTCAGTCAGCATACATACATTGCTAAGACCAAAAACGCTTTGGTCCTATTCCATTCCCGCATATTTATACCTCAGCAGCAGGTTCCTCTTCTCCTACATACAAAATAACAAGAACAAAAGATAAGGGAGTTGACTTCAGAAAGCAATTGAAGAATGGAGTCAAAGGACATATATCAATAACTGATGAGCAGATGTCCGCTATTCACTCAGTAATAACTGGGGAAGGGGGGCATAAATAAAAATCTGATCAGAGGATAAGGGCTCCAACTTTTTTATGCAGCAAAGGATTAATCTTTTCAGTTTTCAGACCAAGTCATTTTAATAACAAAGTATAACAGAGAGCAAGCACTTATGGTAGTTCAGCAATTTAGCACCTGACAGATAGGCCCTAAGAAGCCCCAGCTCATGGTGTAATTTTCACAGGGTACCAAATCACAAAATGGAAACGATGCTCCTCATATGTAGCAAACCAACCAAATAGAAACAAGTACGAGTAACTATATAGATAGGCCTTTATCATTTTCATCGATCTCTGTTCTTAAACTCACCATCTACTGCATTTGCTTGTCATGAAGAAAAGCAGAAAGCCTAAAATCTCACAAGAGTTGTTTTCGCAAAACCCCAATCACCACAACCTCACCAAACATTTTATGGTGTTTCCCAACATAAGCCATCATCCCATTTTCCAACAATGTAAGTCCCCCTAGGACGGTAAGCCCTATCAGATGATCTCTATACCACAGTCCACAGGTGGGCTGGCTTGCTGTTGCATTTTGCATCATTCATGTTGGGCATACTAGAATTGAGATTCTTGTTTCCTTTCCCCCTTTCAATCAATAATACAGCAACTCCAAGCCCCCGGTGCCCATTTGATATGACTTAATAAACTACCAAGACTCCAAGAGTTATTCCTCGCCAAAAGGAAAAAAAATACAGGAGTTGCCTAATAGGTAGTGTTCCTTAGCTTGTTACCAGAAACTTCCATTACAATGCACGTTAATGGTTTGAAACAAGGAAGGTGCAGAAGAGTACATGCAATCTGCCTTGAATATTCAGGTAACTGTTAAACGGAAGCAATCAGTATGAAATGCCAATTTAGGGCTTTAGTCAACTGTAAATATAGATTATAGTCGCAATCCAACTGTTGTAATAATGTTCAAACAGACCTAAGCAGCTAAGGAATTCAAAACACCATTTTGTGTCATCCATTTATGGCATGTTGGAACTGATATTCTTGGTTCCTCTCCTCCCATCCTCCCCAACTTTTTAGTTGGTGATGTCTCTTGCCAAATACAATTATTAATCAATAGTACAATAGTTGCAGACCTGCTATACCCAACTGTTTTGGCTTTGTAGATCATCAAAATTCTAACAGTTTTCACTTAAAAATGAAGAGCTATCTAATAGATACTGCAGCTTTACAAGTGCCTCCTATCCTGTTACCGGATAGTTCTATACTAATGCATGCAGCTGGTTCAAAACAAGGAGTGCATTGGGAGAATTCAGGCAACCTATGGTGAATGCTGAGTGGAACCAAAATAGCTGCCTTCTGTTAAATGGTCGAATCTAATGTTACAAGACAATTCTAGCATAAGCAGTTTAGCTGCCCCCCTATCCCGCTATGCAAGGCTTATCTAAGTTTCCCATGTTGAGTGTTGACAAAAAATCCACAATGCAACTGCTACAAATTCACAGTCTCTCTATCTAACAATGGACAATTCTAGCACTAGGCAGTTTAACCAATTATTAAGCCAATCAATCACACAGAATCACAGTTGTTCATGGAGAATCGAAATCTATGATGAACATCAACAGTGCAGACAGGAATCACAGGATTGGAGAACCAGACCTGCTCGAGCACACGGAGATTGCTCTTCTCCAACCTCCCCTGGCGAGCTTCTCCAGCTTTCTGAGCATCCCTGCGTACATCCAATCCATCTCGGCCGCCTGCCCGACCGCAGAGCCGAGGAGCCCCTGCAGCCTCCTGACCCCAAACCCGTCCACCATTTCATCCACCGCCTTCTGCCCCCCAATGGTGTGAGCGTGCCCAGGCGCCGGAGCCGACGGCAGCCAGGGCATAGGCGACTCAGCGGTGAAGGCGTGGTACTAATCACAACAACTCAAGATGCTAAAATCTTGATCTAGGAATCTGGAAGAAAACATGAGACTAAAAATACATTCTCCAAGATAGAGAATCAACACAATGTCGTGACAACATAAGCATATTCTTAGAGAATCAACACAAAATTGTTGCAAGTCGAGCGAAGTACATAGTCTTAGCAAGAAACAGTTTTGCCATACTTCTATAACTCAAAGGGCTACTAAGCTAACAAAACCAAAAGAAACAACTTCAGAGGAAACCTTCATGCTCTTCTTCTTCTTCTTCCCCTCCTCAGTCTTCCCCTTCTTAATCTTCTTCTTGTCCAAACTGGCTTCTTTCACCTTGTTTTCATTTTCCCAACGACGCTTGCCCTTGTCTCCCTTCTTGCCAACCTTCTGGCTGTCATCAGCAGAAGCCACAGTGCTAACCTCCCCAGATCCAACAATTTTCATACCCAACTCTGGCACAACCTGGTAAATTGGTAGGGCAACTGAATCCACAGCCTTGAGATGCAGCGCCCTAACGTTGGCCCACATCTTTGGCACCTTCTCGACAGCCGCCTCCACCGCGGCCATCACATTGTCCACGATCTCCTCTTCCTCCATGTCCAGCCTACCCACCTTGATCCCCGAGCAGGTCCCGGAGCGCAGGTACAGAAAAGCAGAGCCAAGGACCTTGCGGACCTGCTCCGGCCATCCAACGCGGGTGAAATCGACTCCAATCGGAGCCTTGTTGGTGGAGTAGAAGGCCTTCCCGAGGACGCGCGGCAGCAGCGGGAGGATGGCGCGGTCGGCGACGAAGAGGGCGTGGGAGGCCGCGAGGCGGCGCCGCGACTCGTAGGGACGGTAGTCCGTGCGGAGTGTGGATAGCGGGATGACCTCGGAGACGGGGAGCTTGGACGCGTGGAGGAGGTCGGACGCGGAAGGGGACCCCGACTTGGGGCGATCGTCCGAGATGACGCAGACGTCGTGCCCGACGACGGGATGCGGCAGCGGGAGGAGGCGAGGCCTGGTGCTGCGCGAGGCCGGGACGCGGCGGAGCGAGAGCTGGAGGACGACGAGGTCGTCGCGCTCGTCGGCGAGGAGGTTCGGGCGCGCCTCTGCGGCGCGCTTCTTCATCCACTTGGTGAGGGAGGCGACGGCGCTGGCCACCGTCTCTCGGGGCACCGGGTGTGGCGGCTGCGGCGGCGACATGGCGGGCGGGCGGCGGCGCGAGAGGGAGGACAGAGGCCTGGGTTTAGGGTTTGTTGTTGCGCGAGAGGGTGAATGGTCATTGCAGGCATATTAATTCAAGGGGTCGGATCCTTCCTTGTGGGCTGTGCCTGCCTTGGGCCTAGATAGATAGAAAGAGGATGAAGGCCCAGCCACACCCGGCCCACGATCCTTCCTCGCTTGCATCCCATCCCACCAGTCGCCGCCCGCCGTGATGGGCTCCGCCTCCGCCTCCGGCCGCGGCTCCAAGGAGGAGGGGAGGAGTGGGTGCTCAGCCACGGCGATGTGGTGCTCATCCGCTCCGACCTCGCCATCCTCCGCGACCTCCGCGGTGATGCAATGATTCTTTAGTTGATGCGCAACACAACTATGGAAATAATAGGTAGTCAAGTACAGAGTTATTTAACTCCAATAGTATTTCTAATATAAAGTTATGCATATGAAATAAAGTTAAGAATAACAAATCGGTCATTTCAAATGTCATAAGCTCTAGCTGAAGGAGGCACATAGATGGAGGCTTATAAGACCTCCCGTTCTGGTGGGATGTGTCATATGGAGGAAAGATTTTGGTCCTGCCCAAATCTTCCTCCAGGTGCAAGTGTGGGGTATGGCTTTTTATCACGATCATGGTCTCTAGAAACTTTTCACATCAAATAGAAGCATGATCATTTCATGGTTCATGTGCTATGCTGTAATAGCTAAGTAGTTGTAGTGGAATCTTGTACCATTATAATAGGATATTGCTGTTTGGCCTCCAAAAATAATGCTATCAACTGTTAATGCATCCAAAATCAGGAAACAAATGCTTTTGAAAAGCCAAAGCAATGTAAGCGGAGCTTACTGTACTTTATCTGTGCTTATCTTCCCTTCCATACAATCTATTTTTAAAGAGAAAATTGTTAGGAGTTCAAGTTTAAACCCTAAACTACATCCATAAAATACTAAGTAGAATGAAAAAGAAAAACAAGAAATATGCACATCCAACTCAATCTTTCCAGAGGCATTTGAGAACAGCCTAGCTGGTTCATCTAGTAGTTGATTTGCTATACTGTGGCAACATGGGAGCACCATATGCTACAATGTCTGTTTACAATAATTTATAATTTTGCAGGCTCCACCATGCCAAGTACTAAAATGACATTACATTTTGTATAAAAAAGTTATGTGATGAATCCAGTTTTAGTAACCATTGCTTCATATTATTTCAAGGCAAACAACACTTTTACTGCTTCAGTATTGTTATAGGTATAGAGGATATCAGGATGAGTAGGAATAACATAACTTCAGAGAGCCAGCAAAGCCTAAGAATAATATAATGGCCATACATGGTGGTCACGTGCAGGTTTATTTTCAGTTAAGCAAGGAAGAAGCTGCACCGTGCTCTATGTAAAGGTGTTTCAAGGATAGAAATGCAAACACATTCAAATGGGTTTTCTTTTAGTTACATATGCATACACCAACATTGATGATTGTACACATTTGTTAGTGTAGAGCATCCTGTAATAAGGATCTAGCAACAAATGCCAACAATATCTATTTCAACAAGAATATATGAAATCATGTTTCACAGGCAGTGAAGAATCAAGTGTCAGATTGACCCATGGCAGGCTGATCAAAGGATTAGGCCAATAGGCTAATATCCTCCTAATTTCAGCATTAGCATGACAGAACACTTCATGAGAAAATATGCAGCCAAATGTTTCTGTTCCATTTACAATAAAGTCCACAATACTTGGTAAGAATGTAACTACCTAATAAGAATCAAATTAGGGCAGAATTACTAAGCCTGCTACGTGAAAAAACATAAATCAGATTGTTCTGAAACTTTGCACATTTGCGAAACAGTAAAACCAACACTAGTTTTCCCTGACCTACATTTCTATTTATTTCCAGAATCATGGTACTATAAGTCAATGGTTAATCTTAAAACATATCTGCTGCAATATTCACCAGATTTCATGAGCTTGTGTATTAAAGGTAGTGAGCCAGGTGGAATTGCCTGTCCCATTAGTCATTGGTGAGATCAGTATATATATTAATTTGTCCAAGGTTAATTTCATTAAAGTCACCAAACATGAAAGTAGGAACCAAAAGGAGAGTTTTACTGTACAAAACATGAAAGTTGAGATTTGTAGTGGCATTGGGGAAAGTTAGACCTAGGTTACATATGGACGAACAAAAAAGAAAATTTTCCACCTTTCAGGTATGGCTCTGTTTTCCATATGTACAGTACAACTGATTGGTAAACGGATTTGCATTTTAGATCAAAACTTTAAAATGAGATTTCTTGATCTTCCCTTGTTACATAATGATTCAGGGATGGTAATTGACAGCAAACTCCTGTCACAGTGAAATAAAACCTCATGGCTTGATGCGGAAGGGCAGCTTACCGTGGGAGGAGAAATCGACGGAGATGAGATCAAGGTGTTGAGCTGAGAGGGGTGCCTGACAGAGGTGATCGAATGCGGCCTGGGTGAGGGGGCGGGCTGCGACGAGGTCGTAGGTGCGGAGGAGGCGGGAGGCGGAGGGGGCGAGCGCGGAAGCGGTGGCGGCAGCGGAGTCGAGGGAGAGAGTTATGCGGGTGTACTGGCGGAAGGACTCCGAGGCAGGGGAGGCGAGGCGGCGGCGATGGAGGGCGGCGGAGGATGGGAGCGGGAGAGAGGAGAGGGGCGCGAAAGGCTCGGTGCGGCAGCGGTGGGAGTCGGCGAGGAGGCCGCGGTGGGGGTGGTCGAGAGCGACGGCGGCGTAGCCGAGCTCGAGGGCGCGCGCCGTGGCGGCTAAGAGTTGGAGGCGGGAGGAGGAAGAGGAGTTCGAGCTGACATTGCCCCCGTCAACAGAGGAGGAGGACGGGAGGAGGCTGAGATCGTAGAAGAGGAGCGGCGCCGCCATCCCCCGCCGTAACGAACAACAGCTGCGGTGCGGCAAGGGAAGGGATGGACCATGGACGACGGAGGAAGAAGGAGGACGAGGACAATGGATTCTCCGGCCCAAAACAGGCCTAGGCCCGTTAACAACAGTATAGGAGGAAGCAGAACAAGGACATAATCTATAGGAAAAACTATGCACAAAAAAAAATTAATGTCCGTTTTTTTCTTCCTGAACTCTAAAACAAATTCCTTTTCAAATTTTAAAACCATTCATCTTATCTCTTGGTCCGGTTATAAGTGGGTTTGAAGACAGTTTGTCTTTTTTTATTTCGGCTGAATCTTTGCAAAATCATCATAATCAATTATAGAAAAATCATAAAATGAAAGACCAATTTTATTGGACTCCACGTAAGTAGAAATACACGGTGAACATATAATATGGTATACTTTAGTATAAAGTTTTTGTTGTAGCTTTAGTTCTATATTTTTCTGTAATTAATTGGAATAATCAATAGCTAGAGGTTTTATGGTTGAATTATAGTGAAATTTTTATGGTGTGCTAATTGTTTTATGTTTGAACTATAGTAAAAATTTCATATACATTAGATTATGTATAACTTAGTTATAGCAAAAATCTAGACATTGGCTAGACGACTCCAATATTTACTATTTACTTGTGTAAAATATAATTGGGTGTCGACACTGGCACAACACGCAAGTAGAGTCTTCAGGGCTGATTGATGCGTACCACAAATGCCATGCAAGCAGCACAAACGGCCGGCCAGCTGCCTGCCTCGATCTGCCTGCCAACAGCATGCACGTACGAGACGTACCGTGTGCTCCTAACAGAAAGAGAAAGCTAGGTCCACACGCGCCGAAGGTGCCGTTGCCTGTTTCAGCTCAATTATACATGCCAATATTGTTGCCGTGTTTTGTTTCCTTCTTCCCGCCAATATTGTTTCGTGTTGTTGATTTCATCGCAAAGCATATGTGAAGCTGCACACACGCACATGAATCTATGTACCCTTGAATATACAGTACTGGGCTTCAAGTTTGTGTAGTGTGTACGTTGCACCCTTGGCGACAATGACGAAGGGATTTTGCTATACCGCTTCGTAGCGCACTACACATTAATTCATCATCTCATGGTTTAATTTCGAAGTGACATATATAGATATAGTACTAAGAAATACACTTTTAAGGGTTGTGTGTAACCTATATATTGTCCATCTTTTTCTTGTTGCTCTTCATGGTGGTGAGTCCTGACTTCTGCGTCGAGATTGAAACCAAAAAAGACTCCAGCTTATCACCATCGTACTGCCCATGTCCTGAGCAACCGATCGAACGAAACACGCCCAGCTGCATGCGATCCTGCACGTACGCACGCACCAGATCGACAAGCACAGCGAGTGACCAAAACCTGTAACTGATGGTGGTGACAAGGCCAAAATCTCCAAAATTATTTGTGCATGCACAAGATGTGGTGCGTGGGTGCAGTTTCTGATGGAGTGATATGATGGGGGCAAGAGATATTCCTACACTAACAACGACTGAGTCACACTCATGCTCTCTGGCCTCCGCGGCCCCGCGATCTCAGGCCGTCACCTTTGCATACAGGTGCAGCAGCGAGTGTGCCGGTGTTGCTTCTTGTTGACCTTCTAATTTCTTGCTTCGAAACTCTAAAATCTCCGTTACTATATCTGTAGACTATATATGCAGGTGGTGCTGCAGCCATGGAGAAAAAATAGGGGAGCTAGCACGTTATCACCTCCTTAATTCGGTGGATTGGATGGATGGCCAGTTTTAGTCAAATATTAAAATTATACATTTTTATGGATTCTCAAAGATAGTCATGAAACTCGATAAATTATACGATCACATAGCAGGAGTATGATATAAGTGGATATATGTATATTTCCTAATCTCTTTGCACACAAATTAATAGGTATATAGAAAGTTCTTTAAAAAAAAATAGGTATATAGAAACTAACTAGTTGGTCTGAGCAAGTATGTCTTTTTGTCAACTGCAAACATATGTAAGCAGGATGTGTGTAGCTATTTTGTGATTCTTGGTTTGTAGAGGACGTGGATATGTACCGTATACAAATCGGTAGTTTGAAATATTGTTCAGTTCCTATATATATGGTTCCATTACAAAGTGAACATTGTCAGGAAGTAGGAATGTAGAACATATATCAAAAGATAGATGTACCTCTAGAGCAAAAGAGGAAAATTGCACTCATTAATTTCAAATAAATTATGGTCAATGCGAGCGCATCACATAGTAGGTGAAACAAAAAAAAAAACCAAAAAGGGTTTAAAACTCTAAATAATAATGAATAGCATACTGTATTATTAAAGTATAGCCATATTCAAACCACATATGTTCCTTGACATAGAACCATCAAAGCAAATAAATGTGAGAAAAATAGAAAAAAATGACATGTTAACTATGTGACCCTATAATTATTTGGACAACACTCCTTGATAATAGATTGGAACATGAATGTAAGAGGCTATCTTATTTTCTGTTTTGAGAGAACTAATGTTTACACAAAGTACAAAGGCACACGCCCCAAATTCCATGTCCATCACATTGGTATCCCCCAAATTGACACCCTGGGATTTGGCCTCGAGAAAGCAATTAGTGTTGCACAAAGCCTTAAAACAAAATGGATGGTATTTAGCAAATAGGCAGCAAGTTTCTGCAAAAAACAACCACACACATTAGTAAATTATAATCTCACTTGATTTTGATCACAACAAAGTACCATAAAACTACCATAAATATTCAAAAGAAATAAATGAATAAATAGAAACTAGGTGAAAGAAAACAAATTGGTAGGAATCTACGATGCATCGTCCTTAGAACATTATAACCTCCTGCACAATAAATGACCAAACACAAGATAGGTGAAAAAAAAGGATTGATTAAAGTCTATCATGAATCAATATATATATATATATCATCAGTTATACAGGAATATGCATGGTAAAAGAAGATAGAGGTTGAAGAATCACAAACCAGCAAAAGTAGGATCTCCATGTAAGACAAGCACTAGAAAGAGGCATAGAACAACATGCCTTGCCTCCATAATTGAACTTAAATTGTCTGCCATATACTTCGTTGGAGATGAGTGACCTGTCATTATTTTTCAACTATAAGTGTTGTGTCAAATGAAGAGTGCAAGAACTAATAATAGAAATACAATATGACTCAATTGCTCGCATAATGGCAATGTTGGATTGTTTCAGCTTGAACTAATAATTAGTTACAAGTAGACTAAAACTCGTTTTGGAGATGAGTGACATGTGATTATTTTCAATTATAAACAATGTGGTAAATAGAGAGTGCAAATGACTGATACAAAAATACATTATGATGACTTAACCGTGTAAATGATGTTTGACTGTTTCAAATTCAAAACTAACAATTACTTTGTGATTTGTAGGTAATTAAGTCTAGAACCAAATAGGTCATATGATTTTCTAGGATTCGAACACATGACATGTTATAGCCAGGACGGAGTTCATAGACAGATGTTGTGATTGGCTTTGACGACTGTGGTGGCTCTAAGAACTCGCCCTTGGGTGCGGAGAATTTATGAATAGGAGTGCAATCCATATGTGGTGGTGTTTGATGTTTGTGGTGAGGTGAAAATGGTGGTGGTAAAAGAAACAAAAATGATACACGGATGACTTGGTTCGATTCTAGAACAGCTACCGTTCCCTGGCAACGGCGCCAGAAAGCTTGTTGGTATTTCTTAGCGTAAGCAGATAAATCCGCAAGCGCACGGAAGTTACCGTTGTAGCTTTCACCCGGAAGTATTCAGGGTATCATATTTTCCTCAGAGAACGGAAGTGAACTAGAGAAGGATCAAGATCGTCCAAGAGAATAGGTAGAAGGATATTTTTATAGGGAGAGAGGGTTTTCTAAGGTCTCACCAAGGTCACTAGATAACCAAAGTCCTGGCTTGCTATCCTTGCTTACTTCGGAGCAGCGGTTCCTTTCCGATCCTCGAAAAGACTGGGAAAAGGTGATCGGGGTCAGGTCGCCAAAAGCTCTACGGAAACACCAACCCGAACGTGGTGGACTACAAAGGCCTGGTCGGAGCTGTCACCTCCGGGGCTACCACAACTATCCGTGGGGTTGGGCGCAGACTCAGGTAAACTCTAGCCTAGACACCACGTTTACGCTAGCGATTACTACTCTAGTCACAATTTATAACTAGATCACTCGGTCGAGCGGAGAACCCGTAAGCAATTAAGAAAGCACTAAAATCAAATTAAATAGATCGCTTGGAAATTCCAAAGAGAGAACCCGAATATTACTCACGAAGGAGTCAGCTCCGTAGAGGTACAAAGTTGAGGAGAGACGCTGACAAGCCAACTACTCCTCCGCTCTTCCCTCTCCTCTCTTCGTCTTTTCTAAATATATAACTAGGTGAGGACACCTAGTGGGACACCACTACAAGGTATTTGATGTATAATATGAAGCTCTATTGTGTAGGTGTGTGTTTACAAGAGAGGGGATGGCCTCTATATATATATATATATAGTAGAGAAGAGAAGAGGACATTCCTAGGAATATTCCTCCACTAAATGATGCCACCTGGGCAGCAACCGACCTCCCTACATCGGCACAGTAACTCCGCACCGACCTAGGCCGAAAACCGGAGCGGAACCAGCCTCTAAGGCGGTGAACCGAAGCTAAACCGGCGGAATATACGCTGGCTGCGCTTTTCTGTGGTGAAATCCGGTTTTTCTGGGCCAAAACCGGCCGAACCGCGTCCAGGCGAGCGGACCGCGCACCGCCTCACGCGCTCCAATGGGCGAGCGCCACGTGTCCCGGGCGGGCCGGCCTCCCGCGCCTCTGCTCAGCGCGTCGTGCGCGCGCGCGTGCTCCCGCAGCGTGGACGGCACTGCCACGCGCCCCCGCCTGATGGGCTGGGCCGCTCGCTGGCTCCCTCCCAGCCGGCAGGCGCTGTGGGCGTGGGGCCAGCCTGCTGGGCCTGTTGCCGG